TGTAGAGTCAGCTACTTAACACTAATCTGTGACCCAGTAGCCTCCACCACGTGCCACGGTTTCCTCTGAGTTCTAGAATAATGCTCCACATTCTGCAGCCAGAAATAGTCCTAAATTCCTTCCAATATTGCTTTAAATCAAGCTTATCCTTTCAGGAAGCCACTTCGGCTTTCCCCTGGAAGCAGCAGTGATTAATTCCTTCATGCTTTCACACAAAGTCAGTCATTCATTTTGAATCAGAATGGCCCCAATGTGTGTCCCCCCATGCCAGCCTAGCATCTCCAGGACTTAGTCGGGGAGACCAGCTGCCTCCCTCCCAACTCACTCCCTCCAGGACTTAGTCTGGGAGACCAGCTGCCTCACTCCTAACTCAACTCTGTCTGGCACTTCTCCATTATCCAAAGGGGAGATCCCATGACCTCGACCCCTCCCCCAACCAGCTCCAACACTCATTTCAGATTGGCCAGCTCAGCACAAGCTTCTAAGACAGTCTTGCTCTAAGCTGCTTGTGGAACATGGTGCCAGAAGAACATCTTTTCTGTTCTACATGCCTGTGACCCCAAGTCAGGATCTAATCCAAACAATCTCCCACAAGTCCTGCTTAATCCTTCAAATTAATTTCTTCTGACAATAAGACTCTTTTGTATACCTATAGTGTTCCAGGTCCAGCGTGGGTGTGGTGGAGGATGTCAGCTGATTAAGATGGGTTCACCATCAATGAGTTCAAAGGTCTTGAACTGTGAGAACAGAGAAAGGCGGGGAACTATCATTATCCTCTCATTATGCTGGGGGAGGGAGAATGTGGGAACATGTCTTATTTCTCCAGGTTTCCACTGTTAAGGTGAAAGCCCAATCTAGGCCTTATTTCTTTGAACTTCTTGGCCAGGTCTTTGATATTCTACCATGAAAGGGAAAATTTAGATTTCCAGGACTTTGGGTGGTAAGGGCTGAGCAGGACTGAATTGGAGAGAGTACAGACTCCTCTAGAGGGACCCCTACTTCACAAACCTTCCTACTTCTTCCAGGCTACTCCCTCTGTGCTGTGTACCCTGCAGGTGAGCCCAGAGGAAGCTGCCTAAAGCCTGGCTAAGTCCTGCCCCTAAGATCTGCTTGGTTAAACACCTTACTGACTTCTTTAATGCCCTTTGCCTGTCCTGAGAGTTTCAATTTCAATGTGCATAAGAATTGAGGTGGAGGAAGGTTAAAATGTGGATTCCTGGACCTTCCTGGGAGATCCTGAGACAGAATTGGCTGATACTGCTGTTGGTGACAGTCACTGGAGAGGGGGACAGGGCACTGGACTGTCTCTGAGACTGGGAATCTGGAGCTAGATAACTGAACTGCTGTATGACTGTTCCCCTCTGGTGCTGTTGTATAAGAAAGTCTGGATGGGATAACCACAAAGGGCCTTCTATTCTAACACCACAGAGGTGCGTCACATAAGGAGATTTTTGGTTTGACTGAACTGAAAGACACAGAGTGGGGACCACACTTCATTCCACCTGCAAAATGCTCCACAGACAATATAGTCTCCTGGAGAGACCCCCTGGCTCCAGAGGAACATCCTAGGTCCACTGACAACTTCTTAGCAACTGTGCCCTCCTCAAGTCATTGAGAACAGCTCAGACTGGGGGCTGTGGGTATGGGTGATTGGGGTCTTCCAGCTATTTTGTGTCCTCTTTCTCCACTGACACATCTCTTCTTATTTATATGCTCAGGAGGGGAGGTGCTCATAGACACAAAACACATGACCCTCTCAGGGTTGAGAACAGAGGGGCCCTGGGTAGGCAACTCTGAAGCAGAGTGGAGGCATGGGGCTGGCCAACCTCTCCTGCTTTGAACTTGGGGACTCTGTGAAGGGTCTAGAGGCTTTGGGATCACAACTCAGTTCCAATCCTGACTCTCACTTACCAGCTGACCCATCCTTGGGATGTCAGAGAATTAACCCAACTTTATGCCACTGAGTTTCCTCATCTCTAAAAACCCAACAGGAAGAATCAATTTTCCCCACAGGGCTGTCGTGAGAATGAAATCTGATTACATGGAGCATCTAACACTTAAAAGGGGCCTGGCAATCCTTGCCTGTCCCCTCCCGCCTACAGTTCTTTCTTGTCACCATCCTCTGCTTGCAGGAGGGTGTCACTGCCTAATCTCCTCAGCCTTAAGAGTCCTCCAGATAGGATGGGGGATGAAGGAGTACGCCTCCTCATTTTAGTGTTATTGAAAAATATTCAAAAGAAACCTTTACACCAAAAGCAACTCTGGGGAAACAAAGGGAAATGAACAAAGCAAATATAAATCCATAAAATGAAATGCAGATTACAGCTCCTACCAGAGTCTCTGACAAGCTCCCACAGCTCCCAGGACAATGGAGCCCATTGGAGCTTCAGCAGCTCCCAGCTGAAAATTGAAGGTCTGTCCCTCCCTCGGGGCCTCCTCTGCCTCTGGGCTGCTTCCTTAGTCTAGGAGGGTGGCAGCTGCATGAGGTGGAGGCTCAGAAAGCACTTTGCAGCTCTTCCATGCTTCTATGGCTCCTACCCAACCCACACATACCCTTTCCACACCCCCCTCTACCAATGGGCCCCAAAAGTACCAGAGCCACTGCCTGGACTCATGGAACTATACAAAGCAGTCACGACTCGGAGCTCAGGGGACTAGCCCTAGCAGGCTGTATAACAAAGGAAGCAGGAGGCTGATGGCGCTGCATTTCCTTGTCTGGGCCAAGCCATAATCAAGGGTTGCTAGGGCTTACTGCCCCCATCCCCAACTCACTCCTGGGAGGGTGGCCTGGGGGTTTGGAGGGCAGGCTCCTTGCTGCAGTTTCCTCAAGGACAGGTAACCCCATGAGGGGAGAGTACTGCCTGCCAATTGCTGCAACCAAACAAACAGCATGACACAGAGAGGTGCAGAAAGGGTTAGGTGGGGCTCCCTGGGTCCAGGCCTACGTGGTGCTCAGGGAGCTGGAAAACTTGCCCATGAGTGATTTTTAGGCAGCTGAAGGTGCTTAGCAGGGAGAAAGAAACCTGGGGGCGTCTGGCTTTACAGATGTGAGAGCCCACCTTTGGGAGAGGGATTTGCCATAGTTATAGAACTTGTTAGGACAGAATGAGAACTGGGAGTAGAAGGTGCAGAAAGAACCTTTGACCACAAGGAATTGTTGGCAAAGGACTAAGCCCTGCACTGAAACCTTTGCAGAGCTGACATCTTCTGACTTTCAGAGAGACATTTTCCAAGTCAGATACATTAAGTCCTCACGAGGGTCCCTAGCAGGGTCCTGGAAAGCGCAAGTTTACGCAAAACCACATAGAATGAAATCAAGTCTTTGAATGGTATTTTTGTTAGTTGGCTGGGATTACTTTTGTCCACGTCGCTGTTACAATGAAAGAAATGTCACGGAAAGAGCTGCTGTTCTCAGCTGACCTGAGGTCCTTGTACCTTGCACAAGAGCCCGGGAGCCCTCCTCAATATTCTGAACAAGTTATGATACACAGGCCCATCTCAGTGCA